AACCATGGTAACGGGTGATGATACTTGCTGCTGTTTATAGGTTTGGTGCCTGCTCTCAGTGTTGGCTAGACATTGAAGAGCCTTGGCTGTCGGAAGAGATCTTTATGTAATTAGTGTAATCATGTGTTGATAGATTGATCTAGATGATAAAATTTGTTGTTTAAGTGACCTGATCAGGGTTTGTTAGGGTTGCATCTACTACCTCTTTTACACACCTGCAGGTGGATCAGAGCACTGCCTTGTGACTTAATTTGCATGTCAAATGTGTAAGCCAAAGGTTTGAAAAATATCCTCAAACGATGTAAGGATCTCTCATGGATTTCTCCAACTGGACCTTCATTTGTGTTGGGCTTCAGATGAATCTTATTTGACAGCAGTGAAATATAGTGTAGCGAGTGATCATCGCCATGGATACATGCATCGTTAATACCTATGGGCTAGTTATGGCCACTGACCACACTCTGTGCACAGCTACTCTAGGCTTCCGAAACACAAGTACCATAATCTAATCCATATGTGTCCTAAGGAAAGTAAAACAACTTGTATGGAAAGTATCCTAATTGTGTTTAAGGATGTGTTTATATACAGAAAAGATGTGGTTCTTTGGTATGAAGCAGCTACAGGAATAGGTGGAGGAAGTTTGTCCTTATGACCACAACAACCACATGTGTGCGAAATCTATAGCCTTGCTCCAAGGCTGTACTGAAGGATAAGTCCGTGGATGTGTAGTAATTCTATCCTCCTAATACATTGTAATAGGCAAGTCTGGATATGTGGATTCCAGTCTCTTATGGGGCAACTTGTGTTCTTATTATTTGCATAATCTAGAAATTATGATATAAACTTATAATTATTGCCTTGGAGACTTGTGGAAGTCTATGAAATCTCTTACAGCTGCAATAGCTGCCACATGTGGCCTCATCACCAGCTGGTGGAGTTAGTGAGATAGCAGTGAAACATGGAGGCAGATAGCCAGGCAGGAGGGGCTTTGTCTCAGCAGTAATTATAGAGCATGACTCAGTGTGAAGAGAATTTAACACATGTGTGATAATGTTCAATTCATATTACTTCCATTACCAGTCCAGTTTTGTTTTACTACTGTACAAATACTGTTGTGGTCACTATGCTGAGATGAACATGGTCAATGGGGGAGTGAAATAGTGTCGCTATCATCATTGGTCAATTATGGAAACTAAGGGACAAGTCATTCATTATTAAGGGTTAGGAGGGTGGGGGAGAGAGAGAAAGATATTGGTCTTAGGACTGTTTGATATTTTGCTGACACCCCTCTCCCCCAATTTTATGTACATTTTTTTATCTCCCAATCATCCCATCAAGTACAAATGACCAGTTCCTAAATAATGTTCAGATTTTAAATATTTTTGAAATAGAACAGTTATGTTTCCATGGCCTCTCTCCTCCAACCCCCAATCCCCCTTACACACACACACACAGTTTTAAATTTTTATGCTGACCCCCCTCAGAACCCCCTCTAATGTCACCCCCACCCCTTCACACGCATCACCTCCATCCACCCATTATTACTGTTAATTTCTTTGTTTCCAGACCTTAATCTACATCTGTAGACTTATTGATTACACAGAAATCTCATTTTAAGATTTCATTTGGGAATTGAGAAGGCATTACCCTCCAGTTAACTGCCTGATGATGTTTCGGTATTGATCCTGGTCGTAATTTCAGTTCAGGCAGTGTTTATGTGAAGCTCATCAGGGCTGAAATAATCAATCGTGTCTCCCCAGACCTCTATATCAGTTTAACACTCCTGAAAGAAAAATGTTTTAAGTGAAATAAGGGATGCTCTGTATAGCATACTTTTTTATGACAATAAAATAGGACTTTATCTGCCCTAATTTGTATAAAATTGTTTAGGAGCCTATTCTTGCACACTTTGTAACACAATTTCCATGTGTGCTTTTCTATTACATGTACTCAACATTTGCAAAGGACCACATCTTGCACTACAGGTGACTATTTTGGTCCTTAGCAAATGTTGAGTGTTATGTATTGTTTAGTATTCATCGGTTAATGGTAATAGCAAAACGTAGAGATCGGTTCTTTAAAAATGTTTTCATCATGTTTTAAGGCAGCCCTAAATTGGTCATATATAACAAATCAGGTCATGTAGCAGATGCAGTCAGTGCTCTGTATTTATGTTTAAAAAGGTCTCACCACTATAGAACCTCGAAACTATGCCTTAGAGGAATTGCTTTTAATATCATCGTTTGTAATCAGCCATGTCTGCATTCAGTTTCGTTCAGTTTCAATATATTTTATTTTTTTCAGCAAGTTGTGACTTGTCTGCAATTGAGCTCACTTATAGTTTGTTTTTCTCTTTTTGTTTGTTTGTTTGTTTGTTTGTTTGTTTGTTTGTTTCTTTTTTGTGTGTTTAATACCACACTGAGAAATATTCCAGCTATATAGCCTGTACATAATCGACTCTGGACCAGACAATCCAGTGATCGAGATCATGGGCATCAATGTACGCAATCAGAATACGATGACATGCATCAACCAAGTCAGCTAGCCTGACCACCCGAACCAGTTAGTTGCCTCTTACAACAAGCATTGGTTGCTGAAGACCTATTCCAACCGAGATCTTCACGGGTCGAGCTCCCTTATAGTTACACTCCCTTTCTGAAACTCCCTTTGAACAAGATCCAGTCAGAATAATTCATTTTGTCAAACAGTTGTGTTAACATGGTTCTTATATTTCTCTGTGTGTAAAATGTGCCAATGTTAGTATGATATAGATTTATCATCCAAAACTGGCTCCCACAGGAGATATCACTTGGATGAGATCAAGTGATATCTACACTGTAGGTATCGCTGCAATGAAATTACATCACAATGCTTTGCAGACCGTTGTGACATCACTAGTTACCATGATGTCACTACTGAAGCTGTTAGCAGTACTTTTTACACTGAAGACACTGCTAATTACTGTCTACAAATTGAAAAAGTTGGAAGAATGATGTAGGATGATAAATAAAATCTCACCCTCGTGTCTTTTGACATCAAATATATCAACACTTGTTGATAAAAGTGGCAAAAATCCTCGGCAAGCCACAGAATTTTTCCACTTTTATCAACATGTGTTGATATATTTGATATCAAAAGAAACTCGGGTGAGATTCTCTATATATTCATCATGTTCATTTTTCATTTAAAATAGTATGCATGACCATGACGTGAATGTGCCCTTTTCCATCCTTCACATACTTGTGTATGAATATATAGGGGAAAGGTATCCAGCTGGTAGCATGGTTTTAAAGGGAGCATTCAGAAACAAGATACAAGAATTTTGTTTTTAGTGATGATAACACCTAACTTTAACACTCAGTAATATTGTTCCTTGAATCTACGGTGTATGAGTAGACTAACATCTCGTCTCTTAAATGAACATATTGTACAGAAAAAAACCCAGTTAAATTATCGTAATAAAAATTTAATAAAAACATGAAAAAGGGGCCCAGAGACTCTCTTCATTTTCAGTAATTTAGACCTGCCAAACATTATAGACTTGTATTTGATATATTTGTATCAGGGTCTGTAAGACAGGCTAGTGTATGAGGTTTAAACCATTCATCATCTTCATTGTGTTGTATCTTTTGTACATGATAAATGGCTGGAGCCGTTTTATTAATTTATTTTTTTTGACTTTTTGTAATGAGGTGCAAGTGTCTGTGGTGACATTTGGAGCTAGTTGTCTCCTCGCCCTATAACATTTATAGCACTTCCTGTTTGTGATAACGCAAGGGGATATTGTTGGTGGGACTCTCAACATGCTCAAGTACCATATAATGAGTTTGGAGTCCTAGTTTTGAAAACTAAATACATTCAGTACATCAATTCATATCAGATCAGCTCTTTGGACAGACCAGCTCTTTGGACTGGCCATCTATTTCATCAGAATTGGGGCGGTGGGGTAGCCTACTGGTTAAAGCATGCGCTCGTCACGCTGAAGACCCAGGTTCGATTCCTGACATGGGTACAATGTGTGAAGCCCATTTCTGCGCTGTCCCCCGGTATGACATTGCTGGAATATTGCTGAAGGCGATGTAAAACCAAACTCACTCACTCACTCACTCACTCACTCACTCACTCACTCACTCACTCACTCACTCACTCACTCACTCACTCACTCACTCACTCACTCACTCACTCAGAATTGTTTGCAATATGTACATGAAACTGCAAACCTATTCCATGTGGCCTATGAGATGTGCTTTTTGCCTCATTGACATTTGCTCGAAAGATCAGATATATGCATGTACAAAAAATGTCTAAACTAAGCAGATTTATGTTAATCCAGCATTCTTACAACACTTAAGTTTAAAACAGTGGCGTAGGCGTAGGAAATGATTAATTGGCTATGTATGTTATTTTTGGCAGGTGACCTTTCCTTCCAGGTATTTTTTTTTCTCAAACCATTTCAGCATTTTCTGTAAATGGGAAAAGCATTTCTTGTCATAAGCAATCAAAATGGCGATAGTCACCGATGACAGTGAAATAACACCTAGTGTTACAAAGCATCATAAACTGATGAGTGAGAGCACTGTGCAGTGATCCTGAATATTCATCATCTTTTTTATTCTGATTGCTTTTCTGTAAGGACTAAGATCTACATATGTTGACTAAACATGTACACTATTTTAAACTGCAATGCCAATGAGGCCAACTTGAGCACTGACTATGGCAATATGTTCAGATAACTCCGTGAAGAAGAGAAACACTTGCTCACTGACCTGGACTTATACATAACTAGTGTCTAGCCTAAGGTTAAACAGTGTTTCTGTTTCTGAGAAATTAGACTCAACTTTTTAATCTCACTAGGTAATACTGACAAAGGGTCATGCTTGATTATTCACAGACTACTGTCATATAGCTGGAATATTGCTGAGTGCGGCGTAAAATAACAAACAAACAAAAATAAAACTGACATTAAACAACACACTCAACCACTTATGTTTTTTTTCCAGATTGTGACGAGGCAGAGGTAGATTGTTGTGATGTTGCGTGTGGTAGTGCTGGTGGCGACGTGCGCCGTGGCGCTGGCCTACAGTCCTATCCTGGACTCTACAACATGCTGTAGCTGTCAGACACTTCTCCCAAACAACGTACCCGACAATGTGGAACCCCAGAGGATGCCCTCACCTTTCAAGATCATCGTGTCCAGGAATTATTACGCTCCTCTGGAAGAAATCAAAGGTAGGTTGATTTGTTTTTAAGTTCTCTTAGTTCTAAAACTGTATTCCCGCACCATGACTGTGGAATATATCCTAGGGCTGCAACAAATACACTATGAGGTGAGTATGATAGTTTCACGAATATAGGGTAACGAATACGAATATTTATTCACGAATATAATAACAAGTTACTTCCAGTGTTACCTGATCACGGTAATCAGCTGGTATTGTCTTTGTGTTGGGAAAAAACGTTGAGTCAGTGTAACACTTGAGATAATTAAAAATGTACATAATTGTACATCATGTAATTGCTCAGGTTGAAACATTTTTGTGAAGCAAACAAGCAATACATTGCAACAATGCCGCTTATCCTGTAGGCTCATGTTTTGGTTGACGGTACCATTAGGTACCTTGACAAACTGACACAAGTTCACTACTGCATAGCTTGTTTATATTCCATTTTCCATATCTAGCTTTGAAAAATAACTGACGGGTCAAAAAACACCCTTTACCAAAAAACCATACATATTTGATTCTAGTGATCACGAATAACGAATTCAGTTCATGGAAGGTATACGGTTCGATTCACCAAATACTCGAGTGAATCGTAACAGCCCTAATATATACTACTAAAAAATTCTTTCATATTACATGTAGTATTGTTTAATCTGTTGGATTAACTTTTGTAATATGAAAGAATCAGGTGGTCCTTATCTGTTTTTGAGTGGTATATATATTTTGTTATAAAATACTTATCTAGATTTTAAAAAAGCAAGTCTAGTTAGCTGTGACATCAGTCAGCATTATTAAAAAGAGGAGAAATATATTGTGTAATGAAAGATGTCACCGACTACATGTTGGTCTGCTAAAACTGAAAAACCAGGCTCTCCCTCACTCATTTAAAAGGTAGTAGACCCGCGAAGATCCGGGTAGAGAATGGGTCTTCAGAAACCCATACGTGCCATAAAAGGCGACTATGGTTGTCCTAAGAGGCGACTAACAGGGTCGTGTGATCAGAATTGCTGACTTGCTTGATGCATGTCATTGTATCCCAATTGTGTAGATTGATGCTCATGATGTCAATCACTGGAGGATTGTCTGGTCTAGACTCGATTATTTACAGACCGCCGTCATATAGCTGGAATATTGCTGAGTGCGGCGTCAAACAACAAACAAACAAACGAAAAGGTTGCATGTGACAAAAATATTATGAAGGCCTTAGGTCAGCGATGTGAATTGAAAACTCTGCGCTGCAACCGAATCATCTTGAATATCACTTGGAGGTAATTCTAATCATAGTCAATATTCAATCATATAATATATAAAATAGTTTTCCTTTGAGCAGGACCTCTTAGAAAGGAGTGACATTCCCATCTTGATGAGTACAATGAGGATTAGACCATTCAAGAATACTGAAAGATAAGCACAGAATGATTCTGATCTCTCTGTTTCCAGTGAATCTTACAGCTGAAGGGGACACATACTTCCGCTCTTTCATGATTGTGGCATGGGCCACAGATTACCGGTCAGAGAACCAGCCGAGAAAAGCAGTGGGCAAATGGGATGCTGTGGACGGGACCTCTGTAGCCAAAGACTGCCTCAACAACCAGGAAGATGTGAGTCACCAGTGTTCGAAATACCTGCCTGCCCGACCGTCCGAGACGGGTTGATTTCAACTCGGGCTGCCAGATTTTCAAATCCCCCTGCTCGACGGTCGGGTTATATTTCATATGTGAAAATATTCAAAATATTACCTGATGATAAGCATTAATTCACATGTAAAGATGAATGATAAAATGTAACCAAAAAGAAACCCCGTTAGCTTATCCTGAGAAACATATGATTATAGTGGGCAGGCAGGTTTTGGTCAGGGCTGGCAAGTATTTCAGCTAGCCAGTCCTGTGGTCTGGCTGAAATTTTGGGGAGTTTCATACCCTGGAGTCACTGAAGATTGCTTTCTCCAAGAGATCTATGATTGTCAATACTCCCATATGCTACACAAACGAAGTTAAGGAACGCATGATTATTTTCATATGACTATGCACCCGTGAAGATCCGGGTCAGAATAGGTCTTTAGCAACGCATGCTTGCCGTAACGGGCAGCTACGCTTGTTGTAAGAGGCGACTAACGGGATCGGGTGGTCAGGATTGGTGACTTGGTTGGTGCATGTCATCGTATCCAAATTGTGTGGATTGATGCTCATGATGTAAATCACTGGATTGACTGGTCATAACTTGATTATTTACAGACCGCCGTCATATAGCTGGAATATTGCTGAGTGCGGCATTAAGTAAGCAAACAAACAAACAAACAAACAAACAATCATATGACTGTAGTTAGTCTGTCACGTCTGGTTCATATTGCGATACAGGGGGTTCGTTAACTTTTTCAAGTGGTATACTTTGACATGGATTTGTGAAGGTGAAGTGAAGTTCTCATTAAACATATGAACCAATGTTTGTGGATTATAGTTTGTGTGGTTAATTCCAAAAACATGCTTCTCTGCCATGAGAATGAATAGTTTTATGTCTGTACCAGAGTCTAGATTCACTATATTTATCAATAATGTTTGTCTTATCATTGCCTCCATATCAAGACATGGAGATACATTTTGCTAGGTAGGCAGTTCACCTAGGTCCAGAAGGAATGCATATGAAGTGTTGGGTGTGATTGATTTCAGGGGGAGGCTCTGAGAAGTACCACCATGAACACCAAGAGGATGGTGAAACTGGCATGGAGGTCCCCAGAAAGATATGGACATCTTGAATTCAGGTACAGACTTTGAACTTCAGCTTGACATTTGTCTTGGTCTGTGTGGGAGAGGGGCGGTCCGGTAGCCTAGTGGTTTAAGCGTTCGCTCGTCACGCCAAAGACCTGGGTTCGATTCTCGACATGGGTACAATGTGTGAAGCCTATTTCTGGTGTCCCCCGCTGTGATATTGCTGGAATATTGCTAAAAGCGGTGTAAAACCATACTCACTCACTCACTCACTGTGTGGGAGACAGAACTCAATTAGATGTTAATATGGAGCTTATCATAATGATGTTGTGGATTTAACAAGCTTCTCGAGAACCTGATTTGGCACTTGGAGCTACGGATTTGATTCTGTTTACATTGGTTGTGCTTCCACTAATCCTGTTGTATTGTTACAGAGCTACATTTGTCGTTGATGATGATACATACTGGGCCAAAGAAAAGTCACAGATGATTGTTGACCCCAAAGCTGATCCACCGACAACCAAAGCACCTCTGCCACAAGTAGGTACACTCGAGACTGTTGAAACCAATTTGTCTTTGCTTGATAAACGTAATAAATGTACTAGCACCTTGCCGAAACATCTCATTAAAACTATCAAGAAGATGCATTCCGTAAGTCAACCCTGTCTTCGTTGATGCTTTTTAATGCCACTTAAGACAAAGTGTCTTGTTGGAGTGTCAACATATTTAGAGTTACCTCCCTTCTTGTCTGGGCAAAGATTGTAATTTACAGGAATCCATTTGGTCATCACCATGTTGATTAAAAATGTTGAAGAGATCTGAATTATGCAGCATGTTGGTAGAAAGAAGGCATATTGTATCTACCTGTTATATGAGGTTTTTGTGTCAAGCCTGAAAAGATATAGATGAAATTTAGTAAAATTGTCCAAACCATGTAACATTAAAACCGCCACTGCATAATTCTACCGACTGTCCACCCACTTGGTATGCAGGATTATCTATCCCCCCTGTGTTCATGCCGTCTGCTTTCATATTTTTCAATTTTCTCTTGCTGCTTTTACTTTCATGTTAATGGTGTGAAGGTACCCAGTTTTCCATCCTTTTTCGTAAGAGTGAGTGAGTGAGTGAGTTTGGTTTTACGCCGCTTTTAGCAATATTCCAGCAATATCACTGCGGGGGACACCAGAAATGGGCTTCACACATTGTACCCATGTCGGGAATCGAACCCGGGTCTTCGGCATGACAAGCGGACGCTTTAACCACTTGGCTACCCGACCGCCCCCTTTTTCGTAAGAGGTCATATGGGATAGTGATGACAGTTGTTATGTAGGTGTGAGTTGTTGCTCATGCTATCAACCACTGATTTGTCTGTTCCAGCCTTGATTACTTACAGGGTACTGAGATATAGCTGTAATATGGCTGACTGTAGTGAAAATCAATGCTCACACATTTACATAATGTGTCACACCAAATGCCCTGGTTTGATTCCCTAAACAGTAACAGTTTGTGAAGCTTGTGTCTGTTGTCTCACTCTGGAATACCCCTGTGGAGATCCGGTTTAGAATTGGTCTTCAGCAACCCATGCATGTCTTAGGAGGTGACTTATGGGATCAGGTGATCGAACTTGCTGACTTGGTTGATGTATGTCATTGTGTCCCAATTACGTAGATCTATGCTCATGATATTAATCACTGGGGTGTCTGGTCCTGACTTGACCATCATATATATTGCTGAGTGTGGCGTTAAGCAGCAAACAAACAAACAAAAGGTTGTAGAAGTTAACTAATAAATAATGATAATAATGAGTGCCTTTCAACAGCGCCAAATTCGTGTCTACCGGTATGCTCATTACATCATTGGGGGCGGTCGGGTAGCCTAGTGGTTAAAGCGTTCACTCGTCACGCCGAAGACCCGGGTTCGATTCCCGACATGGGTACATTGTGTGAAGCCCATTTCTGGTGTCCCCCGCCGTGATATTGCTGGAATATTGCTAAAAGCGGCCTAAAACCATACTCACTCACTCACTCATTACATCATTGTCACCCCGGTCAATGGATCGGTGTCATTCAGCTGGAATATTGCTGAGTGAGGCGATAAGCAACATCCAAACAAATAGCGGGATATGACTCATTTGCATAATGATAATAAATGACAGCAAGTATATCAGTCATTGACAAACTATAACAACAGTGTGTGAGGAAATGGAACACAGCAATGATGCTTGGTGACTCTTATACATACCCGATTCATATGATATTTTCAGATCATAGATCCCATCAACTCTGCTGGTTGTGGAAAGCAGAAGGGCTGCTACCGATATCCCCATGGCTGCTGGGAGTTGTACTGTGAATACATCGCCACCTGGGAGGATCACGGCACCCACATCACCTTCGAGGTCGGCGCCCACACAGACGGGCTGGATGACAGATGGGTTTCCCTGGCTCTCTCTAATGACACATACATGGTATGTACGTGGGTTTTGGGGCAGTGCACGTCCTGGGTAACTGCCCAACTCAATGCCTAAAGTGTCATGGACTTTGAGTTTCCATTGAGGTAGATTTTGGATGCCTAGGGTAAGCGCTGTCTATGCTGAACTGGAAGCTGCTAGGTAGCAACTTCCTTTTACTCACTGGACATTAAATTTGAGATTTCACCGAAGCACATATAATAATATTTTGAACTAAATCTAACTTATATCATTCATGGAAGAGCTTCTGGACCACCATCATTATAGTATTTATATACGACAGTAAACACCAAGTGCCATATTTTTGTCTTTACCTTTGATGTCATTTGGTGTGATAGCGACAAGTTAAAAATTAGGTGCTTTTAAGCATGAAGACAAAATTGTTATTTGATACTTGCACTATGGAATTCTACATAGGAATTTCTTTTCATTAAGACGGAAATGTAAGATGTGATGATGTTTCTGTTGCCAGGGTGACGACATGGTGATGGACTGTGTGCACAACTCGGAGAACCACCAGACCAAGGTCTCCCTGTCCTACAATGAGCCTGGCAAGAAGCAGAACCGGAATCTGCCTGAGGTAAATTACAGGCCCCTTCTGGTGTCAGATGTGCTGGTTTGACTTGGTTGATGCATGTCATCATATCCCAATTGCACAGATGGATGCGCATGATGTCAGTCACTGGATTGTGTGGTCCAGACACAATTATTTACAGACCACCTTCATATAGATGGAATAGTGCTGAGTGCAGTGTGAAACAACAAACAAACAAACAAACAAATATATCAGTTGCTCCTCACATAGAGGAACTTGAGTAACCAATGGTGTTCCTTGTTAAGCCCCTTCTATTGGCTGTAGGCTAGAATACCTATAACAGATAGAGCTGCACACTCAGGTTCGCTGTGCATGTATAATCAAAGCCTGTACAAATACATTAGGGACAGGGCCACCTAAGTTGGGTAACTTTTGCCCAATCCTATTGACCATATGTGTCAATAAAATATGTTTGAAACAAACATGAAGCATATTAACTCAAGTTTGTTGAAAAGATAATACAAATATTAGGAACATTTTTTAGTATGTGAAGGACTGACTGCAGCTACAGTGAGGAGTAAATTAAGAGGATCCATGTTGACTTTTCATTGCAGTATCTGACCAACAAGGCACTGGTGTTCCAGGAGGGCTCCCACTTCAATGGACGTATACGCTGTCGCTTTCAGATTAAGAAATACAACAAGGACAGCACTGGTCGAGTGGTTGCTCTCACGGGCAACAAATGGCATATGATTCTTGCCAGAGGGAATGCCGTACAAGGTAACTAGTCTACACAGGGGGTTTAGAGGTGTATGATTAGTAATACATATTTTTATAGTTATTATTGTTATGATATATATATATGATATCATCTTCTAAGAAATTGTACGTACCTTCAAACACAACATTGCAAGTGTCCCTTACTTGTAAATGTGGATAAATTGTTATTTCGGAAGAAATGCCAATTCAATTAACAACCCTATAATATGAAGATTAAGGATAGTTTTACAATTCAACAAATAATGACTATTTTCATAATTCAGGAAAAAAGCTCCGCCATGGCTTGTTGGAACATCAGCTGCCAGTTGTCTCCCCTTACAAGGTGTCCCTCCAGACTATCCCCGATGTCCATGATAGAGCCAGATATCCTCTGGTCAAGGCCCATGGTGAGTACCAAGATGTCTCATTGGATATTAGTGAGACATGGGTGGCCCAGTCATGTTAGGCACTGCAGTTCGCTGTGCCGAGTTGCATCCTTGGGCCTGCCAGGAACCTGTGGTCATTGGCTGGGAACCAAGATTCTTGCTGGGGATGTTTCTAGATTTGTCAGCACCATGACCATGCTTGTGGGTTTCCCAGAGTGGCAAATGTCTGACTAGTCTCTCTCACAGACGCACAGCATATATTTAATATAACATAGACCACCTGCATCACAAAGTAGAGACAATTTGTGCCTTGACAGTAAATAAAGAAGTTGTTAGCCTTATTGTCTCTGCTTTTTCATCCGTCAACTTCTAAATAATCAAACAATTCATCTGCATCACTTCGGCCTGTCCTCCCACATCACACCATGATGTGACTGAAACACTGATCAAAGCAGAACTCGACCAGACTCGCTCACTCACTCACTCACTCACTCACTCACTCACTCACTCACTCACTCACTCACTCACTCAATCCTCACTCACTCACTCACTCACTCACTCACTGGATATTAGTGACATTGTCAAATGTCTTTGTTGGATTACTAAGGACATTGTCAATCTGATGTCAGTACACAATTGTTCAATTACATGGTGAATAATGAAAATCTTTATCATTGCATTGATAATAGAAATTACAGAACTAGAATGTTGTATGTGTTGTTTGAAGAATCCTGTGTCTATATATCTGCTCCCTCTTTAAAAGATTTGTAACTCTCATCAGATACTGTGGTTCTTTCAACATTTGATATAGAGAAAGAACCATGCAGTAACAATATATTAATAATTGGACCAGTGCTGCTGATGAGAAGTATTTAAGGATTTGGTGTCATTGAGATGTCACACCTCATGTATTGTCCTCCTGCCCAGGTTGCCTGATGCTGTTCGCCTTCGTGTTCTGCTCCTCCATTGCTCTGCTGCTGACCAAGTACTACAAGCCCATGTGGCCCAACAAGAGGTTCTTCGAGCAGCGCTACTGGTTTGTGGTCAGTATTCAACAATGCTCTATGTATGGTCGAAAAATGATGGTTATCTGATGGATTATGTTCCTCAGAGTAATGGGATAGAATGTGTAACATTTCATATAAAGCGGGGGGATATAGTCATCATCTGGTCTGTCCGTCCGTCTGTCCAGCTATCCATCGGTATTTAGTGTCTGGAGCCTAACCTTAAAACCATGATAGATTAGTCATCTAAACTTGGTACATGTATTAACCATGGACTGAAGAGGTTTTTGCTACTGAAAGGATTGTAACAATATTTGGTTCTATTTCTTGTTATTATCATTTGTGACATCTTGGTTCCAAGAAAAGGTCATCTTTAAGGTAGCAATATTTATTCCGGACATGCTTGATCAATGCTATGATCAGTAGATCATTGGTGCAATAAAGTTTAATCAGTATCCAAATTAACAATCTTGTTTTCTTTGACATATTCAGGTCCACTTCAACCTAATGGCCTTGGCCTTCCTTGTGGTGATTATCGCCATCATTCTCATCTTCGTGGAGGCAGGAGGCTGGAGTCTGGTGAGTACATGCTTTCATCTTGACCCCCATGGAGATTCTTGGGTAGGATAGGTCCCTAGCACCCTATGCTTGTCTCCCTCTGGAGATTCTTGGGTAGAATAGGTTCTCAATACACTATGCTTGTCCCCCCTCGAGAGATTCTTGGATAGAATAGGTCCCCAGCACCCTATACTTGTCTCCCTCTGGAGATTCTTGGGTAGAATAGGTTCCCAGTACCCTATGCTTGTCCCCTTCGGGAGATTCTTGGATAGAATAGGTCCCCAGCACCCTATACTTGTCTCCCTCTGGAGATTCTTGGATAGAAAAGGTCCCCAGGACCCTATACTTGTCTCCCTCTGGAGATTCTTCTGGAGATTCTTGGGTAGAATAGGTTCCCAGCACCCTATACTTGTCTCCCTCTGGAGATTCTTGGGTAGAATAGGTTCCCAGCACCCTATACTTGTCTCCCTCTGGAGATTCTTGGATAGAATAGGTTGTCAGTACTCTATGCTTGTCTCAACTCTCAACTGTATTCTATCCACTGGAATGAAATATAAGTTTCAATATGTGCAAAGGTATACCATATATGTATTGAAAGCTGTATTCATAAAGAATGTTCTTTTTCTTCCAGACTCCTGACCTACCTCAGAGGGCCCATCCTATTCTAGGAATTATTATATTCATCTGTATCTTGATAAATGTGAGTATAACTGTCCTTAACCTTTAGGTAATATTCATAATGAATAAATGCCATTATTAGTTCTGATGTCAGCTGATTACCTCCGTGGTCTAGTGGTATAGCATCTGCCCGGAGAGCGGAACGTCCGGGGTTCCATCCCTGGGCGTGTCATACCAAAGGAGGTTAAGAGATGGTACTTCTTGTTACCCTGCTAAAACAAGGGCTGGTCGGCTCGTAGTCAGTCTTCTGTGTCTGAGAAGGGGTTTCATGTTAAACTGCGGCATGGTATCTCAGTAGGCTAGCACTATAAAAACGGCATTAGACCGGACAAGTACAGGCATACAAACTCATGTGCCTGCACGTCGCTATATAAATGCAATAATCTTGGACGCGATGTTAAACCTGATGTCAGTTACAGGACACACTCACTAAGTTGTGGCATGTTCTCCTAGACATATGACATGGGTACAAATCGGTGAGGCAACATTGATGACAGAGAGGAGATCAATGCCTAACAAGCAGGTTGGGTTGGGTTGTAGGCTCCCCAGGGATCCCTTGACAAGGGTAATGATGTAATAATGCTTTGAGTATACCTATGTGGTGTAGAGTCTACTCCCTATTATCATGTTTTATGTAAGTACATCTTTATTTGCAGCCAATCATTGCCCTGTTCCGACCCTCAGAAGACAACAAGTGTCGGCCTGTCTTCAACTGGTTCCACTGGGCTTTTGGAACCATCGCCAACGTCCTTGCCAGTAAGTTGATGTTTTATTGCACTGTCATAATATTGTTTTGAATATCTAATATGATTGGAGGTCATACTGCATCAACAGCCAACTAAGTCTGTTGTCACTCAATAAATGATATTGTGCTAAGAGAGCTAATCATCTTTCCTAATGTGTATCATTTATGAATCATTTCTGAAATTGTAAAATCAAAGGCACAAGTTCATCATGCTAGAATTGACATTTAGGGAGTATGACTCACGTCATTTGGCCATCCAAGCAAGTGCATTTCAGTCCATCAGGTGGCACTGGTGGCCAAGCTGATAAGATGTCTGCATTAGCTATGATCGTGGGTTTAAATCCCAGTTAGTGGTTTGCTTTGAGCTTTCCTCACACAACAAGCTTCACATCCCATGATATAACTGAAACACTATTCAAAGCAGTGTCATCTCACTCAAACCACACTCAAGGCTATGAATACACAATGCCATTTACAAAGTGGTCAAATGTAACAAATTGGCTGTATAGTTTGTAGCCAGCTGAAACTGTAGCCCCTTCTGCTCCTGTTGCAGTTCCCAACATCTTCATCGGTATGGACTTCGGCAAGGCTATGATCCCCTGGTGGGCCACCTGGATCATGGTGTTCTGGGTCATCTTCCATCTCATCATCGAGGTCACCCTCGAGGTCCACCAGTGCTGCACCCACAAGAAGAACAAGGGTGAGTGTGTACTCTACAGAAACTAGATTGTAGACAAATGATATATGGAGGTCATTCACAAGTACAGGGTTTGGTATTCAGAACTCTAGATAAGATATCATCATCCAGATGATATATTAAGGTCCTTATTGGTGTCTGGTCTGTCAATTTGCAAATTTATCCTATCATTAGGTACTATTGTGACTTGATTATTTTGTTTTTAATGACCATCTTTACTTGACTTGCAGAGAGAAGGAAGAAGTACGAGGCAATGAAGAGAGACAACCCCAAAAACTACATCCAGGAACCGGAACCCGCTGTAAGTAGCATGTAGATCCGGGAACCTGCTGTAAGTAGCATGTAGATCCCGGAACCCGCTGTAAGTAGCATGTAGGACCCAGAACATGCTGTAAGTAGTATGTAGATCCGGGAACCCCCTGTAAGTAGCATGTAGATCCGGGAACCTGCTGTAAGTAGCATGTAGATCCCGGAACCCGCTGTAAGTAGTATGTAGGACCCGGAACCTGCTGTAAGTAGCATGTAGATCCGGGAACCCGCTGTAAGTAGCATGTAGATCCCGGAACCTGCTGTAAGTAGCATGTAGATCCGGGAACCTGCTGTAAGTAGCATGTAGATCCCGGAACCCGCTGTAAGTAGTATGTAGGACCCGGAACCTGCTGTAAGTAGCATGTAGATCCGGGAACCCGCTGTAAGTAGCATGTAGATCCCGGAACCTGCTGTAAGTAGCATGTAGATCCCGGAACCTGCTGTAAGTAGTATGTAGGACCCGGAACCTGCTGTAAGTAGTATGTAGGACCCGGAACCTGCTGTAAGTAGCATGTAGATCCCGGAACCTGCTGTAAGTAGCATGTAGATCCGGGAACCCGCTGTAAGTAGCATGTAGATCCGGGAACCCGCTGTAAGTAGCATGTAGATCCGGGAACCCGCTGTAAGTAGCATGTAGGACCCGGAACCTGCTGTAAGTAGCATGTAGATCCCGGAACCCCCTGTAAGTAGCATGTAGGACCCAGAACCCCCTGTAAGTAGCATGTAGGACCCGGAACCTGCTGTAAGTAGCATGTAGATCCCGGAACCCGCTGTAAGTAGCATGTAGATCCCGGAACCCGCTGTAAGTAGCATGTAGATCCCGGAACCCGCTGTAAGTAGCATGTAGATCCCGGAACCTGCTGTAAGTAGCATGTAGATCCCGGAACCTGCTGTAAGTAGCATGTAGATCCCGGAACCCCCTGTAAGTAGCATGTAGATCCGGGAACCCCCTGTAAGTAGTATGTAGGACCCAGAACCTGCTGTAAGTAGCATGTAGATCCGGGAACCTGCTGTAAGTAGCATGTAGGACCCGGAACCTGCTGTAAGTAGCATGTAGATCCCGGAACCCCCTGTAAGTAGCATGTAGATCCGGGAACCCGCTGTATGTAGCATGTAGGACCCGGAACCCCCTGTAAGTAGTATGTAGGACCCGGAACCTGCTGTAAGTAGCATGTAGGACCCGGAACCCCCTGTAAGTAGTATGTAGGACCCGGAACCTGCTGTAAGTAGCATGTAGGACCCGGAACCCCCTGTAAGTAGTATGTAGGACCCGGAACCTGCTGTAAGTAGCATGTAGGACCCGGAACCCCCTGTAAGTAGCATTTAGGATCCGGGAACCCGCTGTAAGTAGCATGTAGATCCGGGAACCCGCTGTATGTAGCATGTAGGACCCGGAACCCCCTGTAAGTAGTATGTAGGACCCGGAACCTGCTGTAAGTAGCATGTAGGACCCGGAACCCCCTGTAAGTAGTATGTAGGACCCGGAACCTGCTGTAAGTAGCATGTAGGACCCGGAACCCCCTGTAAGTAGTATGTAGGACCCGGAACCTGCTGTAAGTAGTATGTAGGACCCGGAACCCCCTGTAAGTAGTATGTAGGACCCGGAACCCCCTGTAAGTAGTATGTAGGACCCGGAACCTGCTGTAAGTAGCATGTAGGACCCGGAACCCCCTGTAAGTAGTATGTAGGACCCGGAACCCCCTGTAAGTAGTATGTAGGACCCGGAACCTGCTGTAAGTAGCATGTAGGACCCGGAACCCCCTGTAAGTAGTATGTAGGACCCGGAACCTGCTGTAAGTAGCATGTAGGACCCGGAACCTGCTGTAAGTAGCATGTAGATCCCGGAACCTGCTGTAAGTAGCATGTAGATCCCGGAACCTGCTGTAAGTAGCATGTAGATCCCGGAACCTGCTGTAAGTAGCATGTAGATCCCGGAACCTGCTGTAAGTAGCATGTAGATCCCGGAACCTGCTGTAAGTAGCATGTAGATCCCGGAACCTGCTGTAAGTAGCATGTAGATCCCGGAACCTGCTGTAAATAGCATGTAGATCCCGGAACCTGCTGTAAGTAGCATGTAGGACCCAGAACGTGCTGTAAGTAGCATGTAGGACCCAGAACATGCTGTAAGTAGCATGTAGGACCCAGAACATGCTGTAAGTAGCATGTAGATCTGGGAACCCGCTGTAAGTAGCATGTAGGACCCAGAACATGCTGTAAGTAGCATGTAGGACCCGGAACATGCTGTAAGTAGCATGTAGATCTGGGAACCCGCTGTAAGTAGCATGTAGGACCCAGAACATGCTGTAAGTAGCATGTAGGACCCGGAACATGCTGTAAGTAGCATGTAGATCCCGGAACATGCTGTAAGTAGCATGTAGGACCCGGAACCTGCTGTAAGTAGCATGTAGATCCGGGAACCCGCTGTAAGTAGCATGTAGGACCCGGAACATGCTGTAAGTAGTATGTAGGACCCGGAACCCGCTGTAAGTAGCATGTAGATCCGGGAACCCGCTGTAAGTAGCATGTAGATCCCGGAACCTGCTGTAAGTAGCATGTAGGACCCAGAACGTGCTGTAAGTAGCATGTAGGACCCAGAACATGCTGTAAGTAGCATGTAGATCCCGGAACATGCTGTAAGTAGCATGTAGGACCCGGAACCTGCTGTAAGTAGCATGTAGATCCCGGAACATGCTGTAAGTAGCATGTAGGACCCGGAACCTGCTGTAAGTAGCATGTAGATCCGGGAACCCGCTGTAAGTAGCATGTAGGACCCGGAACATGCTGTAAGTAGCATGTAGATCCCGGAACCTGCTGTAAGTAGCATGTAGGACCCAGAACGTGCTGTAAGTAGCATGTAGGACCCGGAACCCGCTGTAAGTAGCATGTAGGACCCAGAACATGCTGTAAGTAGCATGTAGATCTGGGAACCCGCTGTAAGTAGCATGTAGGACCCAGAACATGCTGTAAGTAGCATGTAGATCCCGGCACCCCCTGTAAGTAGCATGTAGGACCCAGAACATGCTGTAAGTAGCATGTAGGACCCAGAACATGCTGTAAGTAGCATGTAGATCTGGGAACCCGCTGTAAGTAGCATGTAGGACCCAGAACATGCTGTAAGTAGCATGTAGGACCCGGAACATGCTGTAAGTAGCATGTAGATCTGGGAACCCGCTGTAAGTAGCATGTAGGACCCAGAACATGCTGTAAGTAGCATGTAGGACCCGGAACATGCTGTAAGTAGCATGTAGATCCCGGAACATGCTGTAAGTAGCATGTAGGACCCGGAACCTGCTGTAAGTAGCATGTAGATCCGGGAACCCGCTGTAAGTAGCATGTAGGACCCGGAACCCGCTGTAAGTAGTATGTAGGACCCGGAACCCGCTGTAAGTAGCATGTAGGACCCGGAACCCGCTGTAAGTAGTATGTAGGACCCAGTCACCGCTGTAAGTAGCATGTAGATCTGGGAACCCGCTGTAAGTAGCATGTAGGACCCAGAACATGCTGTAAGTAGCATGTAGGACCCGGAACCTGCTGTAAGTAGCATGTAGGACCCGGAACCTGCTGTAAGTAGCATGTAGGACCTGGAACCTGCTGTAAGTAGCATTTAGGACCCAGAACCTGCTGTAAATAGCATGTAGGACCCGGAACATGCTGTAAGTAGCATGTAGGACCCAGAACCTGCTGTAAATAGCATGTAGGACCCGGAACATGCTGTAAGTAGCATGTAGGACCCAGAACCCGCTGTAAGTAGCATGTAGGACCCGGAACCTGCTGTAAGTAGCATGTAGGACCCGGAACCTGCTGTAAATAGCATGTAGGACCCGGAACATGCTGTAAGTAGCATGTAGGACCCAGAACCCGCTGTAAGTAGCATGTAGGACTCGGAACCTGCTGTAAGTAGCATGTAGGACCCAGAACCCGCTGTAAGTAGCATGTAGGACCCCGAACCCATTGTAAGTAGCATGTAGGACCCGGAACCCGCTGTAAGTAGCATGTAGGACCCCGGGTCACTGGTGTCACAGAAGTGGTATTTAACCTTTCTCACCCACATGCTGAAGTCTGTAATGCATCTGGAATGTAGATGGTGTAGATGGTGATGTTGTGGAAACTGATGATCACATTTTCCTTTCAGGGCCGTCGGTTCAAGAGGTCGTTGTTGTGGCTCCACCTGACTGTGACAACTATCATCACAATCATCATGATCATCGTCATCGCAGTCTGCTAGACATGCTGCTACAGCTGCTGAGGAAGACAGAACAAATGGATGTGTGGCACTGTGAACAGGCTCATGTCATACAGGATCTTTCTAATTTTGTTATTTGAAAATAATAATTATATGACACATATTATATTAGAAATGTCCAAAAGTGTTGAAGTATCTTACAAATTTTCTTACTTCAAGGATTTTATAATGTACCAGTTGCTGCTCATTTTGCAAATATTGTCTCCTTTGCATAAAGAGGCGATCAAATATCATCTGAGCATGTTGACAGTGTTGTCACATCATAAGGGAAGGGGACAGAGACAAGAGTTGTCTCCCTTACACCAGGAAAAATAGATCTGAAATGTCATTTATGATGTCTTTCTGGACAAATACTATGAACCCGTGTCTTCTCTTAATGTGATGCTGTGAGTAAGGAGACTTAAGTTATAAGAGCAACACATGATGAACTTGTTGCTCACACCAGCAATGCACCTTGTACACACTGCAGTGCAATGTGGTCAGCACGCTTCACTGATCTCTAGCTTGGAACTGTGATGAGGACAAACTTCAAGAGAATCTCCTCCTCAAGAACTTGCATCAAGCTTTGTGCTTTCAACACGCCACTGTATGACCTCATGCATGGGCTTGATTTATGATATCGCTACTCTGTTCGTAAGAGAGATTGTTAGCTTTGATTTGGTTGTGTAACTTCTTTTTTCTCAGTTTTGAAGATTCTGATGTTGTAAATCCGTTGAAATTTGTTATTTTTTAGCAGAATATTTTATTGCATAATGTAGCATTATGATCATGTTCAAGAAATCAATACGTTTTGTTGTTCCAGTGGAGAAATTGTTTTTGAATAATATTTTTGAAGACTCTGATAGGAACTTGTGCGAGTTGGGTTCAGTGGATAATGTGTTTTCATCTGTTCTGAAAGTCTTATAATTCTGAACTTTTTAGTTTGTTTTATATGCATTTACTGTTTGTTTTCTGTTTCATATCACGGCTCTAGGTGAATGTGTTAGAGATGTGTTGAAATAGTTCGTTAGACTCCGGATGCATGAATCTCATGACATCTCCAGTACGCCAGTAGCCTAGTTGTACTGCTAACATACAATATTGTCTCATGGTGCTATGTATGCCAAATTAACTTCAACTGGATTGTAGTTATCAGCAATTGATATTATTTTATTATGGCAGGTTTCGCTGTAATTACACTAATAGGATTTGAGTGACTGAGGCACATTTAGACATAATATTTTGAAAAACCTAGGTTGACTGAGTTTTTGTTTTATTGGGTTAATGGGGCTGTGTATTAACCTATTTGTTAATGCATTCACTTGTCATCCTGAATGTCTGTGTTTGATTCCATGATTGGTACCAGAAAACCATCCAGGATTATATCATACCATGGCGTGGTATCAACGTTTCTAAAAGTGATGTTAAAATTGATTTTAATGACTGTAAACATAATAAAGGTTTACCATCAACAAACACTTGTTAATTTAAATTTATTTATTTTAATCAGTACATTTGTGATTGAGATTACTTGGCAATAACTCAGTGTGCCTCATTACAGAGAATGTCAATTTGTTAAGCTCAAGAGATATGTTATGAACATTTATCTAAGGGAAAGAATTAGTGAAGGGTATGAATTTCTTCACATTCCAGTGCAAGAATATGATTGGTTGATATAAACAAATTCCTGTGTACAAGATTACGAATGTTCCTGTTTAGAAACTAACTGGACCCAAAGACCAAGATAGCTCCATGCTACAATTAACTGAGGAAATCACTACCAAAGTTCTAAGGAATATGTTGTAATACATCATGCCACCTTCTTTCCTCATGTAAATTTAGACCGTTTTCATTTATTGTCTTAATTTAGTGTCTGTTAAGGTCGATAGAGGAAGAAACAGGAATATTGGAGACGTGAAAAAGTGACACCTCTATATTCTCAGGAATTATCAGCTTCAGCGGTAGAATTGAATAAAACACGTAAAAATCATGTTGTCAATTTCAGTCTGTAATAGATCTGTGGCAAGTTCTAGCTACATGATGGTCATTCATCTGTCTGTACCCTGATGGTGATGATCTGATCACATTAAACTGTTGATGTAAACATCTGACACATATGTCGCAAAATCAGCATGTCGCAGATGCCGTTCTTGTGATTTGACATACGTTTTAGCATAATGAAGGGGCCTGTCATTCTGAATTATACTTTTTAGATTTGTTAGCATTGAGGTACTTTTCACATTTCAATTTTTTAATGGAATGTTCAGTATGATGTAAGTTGTTTTTTTAAATATTTCAGAGAGAGACATGTGTTCAATATTCAGAATTTTTCTCAAATTGGGAGAAATACAGTGGTATGCTATTTTAGATCTGATGTGTGTTCTCCGTTAGTCACCACCAAGGTGATGTGAATAGACAAAATGTGTGATGCTTGAACATTGAGTATTGATAAGCACATGCTTAATATACAAGAATGATATTCATAGATCCTGGCCATTTGTGAAATTCTCAGTTGAGTTTGCCAGGCCTCAGTGTAGGGAATCAGGGTCCGATGATGTAGCTCAGACTCTGTCTGACAAAACCTGCTCGGTCAATGGGTTAATCATGTAATATAGATGGTTGATTATGTCGTAATTATCTCCCTTGTATCATATTCATACCTTTGTACATTGTATATATTGATGTAAGGCTAGCATTCAACTCTTCACAAATATCAAAATGACTGTTAAAGTAATACTTCTCACCTCTCAGGTAGGATTGTCTTAAGCTGATCATTGTTTGTAAAATTGGTAAAAGGTCAGTGTTAAAATTAATTCCCTAATTACCGGGAATAAATGAGAGTATGTCATGTTGAATATATGACAGTTTGCCATAACAAGAAGGAAAATCAATCGCATTTTGAAGTCAATTTTGACGTTATGATAATAGTTGATATTTGTGACTATGTTCATTGCTTCTGACTGCCGCCATTTTCGTCACAGTCACTTGGCAAAATGGATCCAACCTGACAGGAAATATCTCTTTTTGGAAGGAATCCTTTTTCATGCAATGAATTATGTTCAAAGTTTGCTTTGCCAATTGCCTGTGATTTTGGTAGAGGAATTTAGTACATAATTCTTTAATCTGCTTTGTCGGCAATTATCAGTGTCGGTATACAAAACTGTTGTATATTTGTATTATGTTGAGTGTTATTTATTTAATGTCCCACACAGCAGATTGCCAACAAGTAGAGACCTACATGTTCAGGCACTCCTACAATCAGACTATAAAGCAACAGAATGGAATGAATCTGTGTTATATCAGAATGAAAGTATCTATGTAATGCTGATAACATCTGCCAAGTGATGCACAGTGCTTAGTCATAATAGGTTTGTAACGTGATAAGCGAAGATATGATCCCAATAACAGATTGTTTTTGTTTGTCTGCCATCTTTTTCGTCAGTGCTGGACTAAAGCAAAATACTTGTTTTAGTGTCACCTGCATTATTGCGTTCACAATATTTATCGTTACCTCAGCCAATATGATTGTTCTAAGACAACAACAATCCAATATGACATGTGGTGTTCCAATACAACAAGCCAATATGACACCTTGTATTCCAATTCAAGAAGCCAATATGACGGGTGCTGTTCCAATACAACAATCCAATATGGCATGTACTTTCCAAACAACTGCTATTAACTCAAGTTGTAGAATGTTTGTGCACAATGCCTGCAGTATTCTATGTAGTCTTTTTCATTCTGATGTAACATGTTCATTCAGTTTTGTTGTTTTATTGTCTGCTTGTACTATGGCCGTATGATTACATCTACTCTTGCATGTTATATTCTGTAGCATGCCCTACCCAACCCAACCAGTACATGGGAACCTTGGATCTAGCTAGCATATTTTCAGTTTTCCTGTTGTGATCTTGACCCATTTCTAGCTGTAGTTAAATTGTTTTGTCACTGAATTCAAGCTTGAATAAATAATGCCAGTTTTACTTATTACATTACTTATTAGATTTACCAACAGCAACGTCTATCGTATAAGGGGAATGAAATCTTCTTGAACACTATAAAAAAAATGTTTTCACTATTGACATGCAGTGAGATGATTATGATTGTAGTGTTTATGCTTTTGTTGTCATTTATATCTGTTTTCACAATGGTGCTCTTAAATACATTTTCGTCCGATACAAATATGATATAACGGTTAGGATATCCAAGAAAATGATCACTCTGACTGAGATACATTAGGTGCCTTGCACTATCAGTTTTCCATCCATCTGTGGCATCCTGCTTCTTGTAATATCAGGTGGAAATAGAACTATGAAGAGATAAGTGGAAGTTAGGTATGTACATTATGGTATTGCTGTCACAATGGTAATTATGCATTATGAGTTGTATTGTTGAATATTTACCCTTGCAATACCGATACTACATGTTAAGATAATCCTACTTTGTACTACCTTGTATACTGTGTCGTTGTTGACACAACACTACTCAGCCTTGGCTTGTAGAATATCCTAATTACTTTATTATTTGAGTGAATAAATATACTTTTATTGTACTTATGTATGTGTATCATTTTATGTACCCATCTTCTTGAGTGAGGGTTAACTGACTATAAGAGTCCAGTTTCAACCCTTGCCAAACAAGGCTAGAATTTCTAGGCTGTATCCTAGCTCCACCAGTAGCTATTGCGAGTTATGTCCCTCCTATGCCTCTCCTATTCACCAGTCAGATTCCATCACTCATATCACTTGCATTTGCTTCAAACAAAATGGCAGCGTCCAGTCAAGAGGATCTGATCGACAATCAAGACCTATATTGTAATAAAATGGGTCCTACCCCTACAAAATGCATCAAATCACTTGAGCACCTTGACTAAATACTTTTGCAAAATACCTACCGACGCCCAGTTGACTGTACACATGCTTTGCAAATCCTGCAGTTGACCGAAATCTGCACTTTTTTAATTCTGATTGGACTATGCATAGACTTGTTAGTCCAGCCAAAATGTAACTCCAGAATTCCAGCCTCGTTATGCAAGGGTGGAAACTGTATTCTTATAGTCAGTTAACTCCCTTGCCACAGGAAGATGATTCCTGCCAGATTATTACATTGTGTATCAGCCCTGCCTGCTGTTGTCAGGCTCTCCTGGGTACAAGGATTATACACCCATGAAGATCTTGGTCTTGAGCAACCCATGCTTGTCTTATTATATATAAGAGGCGACTATGCTTGTAGTAGAGGTGACAAGTGGGATTGGGTGGTCAGGTTGTGACTTGTTGATGCATGTTATTGTATCCCAATTGTGTAAATCGATGCTCATGATGTCAGTCTTTGGCTTGTCTGGTCCAGACACCGTCATATAGCTGGAATGTTGCTGAGTGGCATTAAAAAACAAACAAACAAGGATCATAATGTGGGTGAATGTTCGATTCAAACCCTTGATAAACAGAACAACAAAATCTGCACAGTATAATGTGTTGCCCAGACACTTTGTCCATCTATGCCCCGAAGTATAATATAAGGGATGGAACTATAAGGAGTGAGGGTTACAGCTAACACTGAGCCACCTAGAAACATTACCAAGCAAAAACAGTGTAGTATGTAGGCCTGGGTTCGATTCCTCACATGGGTACAAAGTGTGAAGCCCATTTTCCAGTGTCCCCTACTGTGATATTGCTGAAATATTGCTAAAAGCGGCATAAAAAACATACTCACTCACTCTAGAGTTATATTCTCCTCTAGTTTTCTTTGTAAAGGACAATGGAGGAAGATATCTGTACTACACATGAACAAGTAACTTCCAGTCATGTGGACTGGCCATGTTTTCATTTGTATAGAAAATACTGGCACAAGTTAACATTGCCACTGCTTTATCTTCCCAAATTAATTATCCCTTGGGCATGCTGGATTTCCTGCAAAAAAATGTCTTGTGGAAGAACTTTTTGGAGTTATTTGTTTCAGAGAAAAAATGCTTAGCGTTAAATATTTGAAATATTTACCAAAAACCGAGATACATGGTGCTGAAAGTTTTGTTTTGTTAGTTGTTAATATTCCAGACAGTGGCTTGTGAGTAATGGAGTCGTCAGCACGATGTAAATACAACTTTGTACAGCAAATTACCCTGCATTAGACCATTGAGACTTCCGTGTGCCAGTAAAAGATAGACAGAATGAATAATGAATGTTACTTTTCTCACTGGTAATGCATTTGCTGGAATATTTACTTATGTTAAGATGATGTCGGGAGTTGAAATGTCTACAGAAAACCCAGTCCCAGGTGACTGCCATGCTGATCTCAGCAAAGAGCAGACGTATGTCCGGGTATGCGTGGGTGAGGACCAACTCACAAGAACAACGGTGTTATAACAGCGACTCAGTTATTCAGTTATTTGCTGGGAGGCCATGGCGGACGTGTTAGGTCATTGGTGCGGACAGACGTTGTTGATCTAATCAACATTATAATCAAACGGTTTGATTGGCATTCTTGATGTTGAGCGGTCTTACGAAAACGACCGGCTCTGTTGTCTAGTGGTAGAGCGGATGAGTCGGGGTTAGATCCCCGGTCGTGTCATACCAAAATATGTAAAAGATAGTACTTGTTGTTACCCAGCCTGGATCTCGGCATTAAGGGGCTAAAACAAGGACTGGACGGGTCGGAGACAGTATAATGTGTCTGAGTGGGGTATTCATGTTAAACTGCGGCATGGTATCTCAGTGAGCTAGCTATAAAATCGGTATTGGTCTGGACTTGTACAAGCACGCACACACGCACGCACGCACGCACGCACGCACACACACACACACATACACACATAAGTGCATGAGGGGGCACGGGTGGCCCAGTCGTCTAAGGCGCCGCGATTCGCTGTGCAGAGTTGCGTCTCTTGGACACGCCAGAAACCTATGATTGTGGGTTCGAATAACGGTTCGCCCCGATTATGTTTCTAGGTTTGTCAGCACCATACCCGTGCTCGTGGGTTTCACCGAAGTGGTAAACGTCTGAGACCTGCATCACTTCGGGCTTTTCTCCCACATTAAGCTGACACGCCGCGATATAACTGGAATACTGTTAAAAGCGGCGTTAAACCCAACTCACTCACTCACACTCATAAGTGCATGCACGTTGCTATTATGGTGCAATAATCTTGGACAGACTTTAAACCCCATTTCACCTTACCTCAATACGAAAACGTACAACTTTATGGATAACAACATAGCGACAGTGGAGAATACGGGTTCAAACTGGCCACTTCCAACCTGTGCAGGTCGCCAGAGGCGAGTTTTATTTCATAGATCGGGTGGTCCGGCTCAGAGATGTGGTTGATGGCGTGTCAAAGTGACCCTGAGGTGTTGTTGTTCATAATATCAGTCACTGGATTAACTGGTCCTGACTCGATTATTTACAAGCCGCCGTCATATAGTTGGAATATTGCGTAGTGGCGTTAAACAAAAACACTCCAAAACCAACCAATCTTGTTAAAAGTTTTGCATTTGATAGCTTGATGAAAAATGCATATTTCGTTTGGAGTGATGCTGTGTAATAGTGAGCTTCATAATGATTTTACGTTTGCTTCTTTTAGTAATACCAAATTGTTGTAAACAGTTTTCATTTTAACAGAAAACGTACAATTTAGATAATCTAAACACATCTGCTCAGATTTTTTTTACTTCGAATACACCTGTGCTAATCTTCGCTTCGAAAATGTTTTCATATAAACTTCTTTTATCAATGCCAGTGCGCAATACATATTAAGGAATCCGGGTTAGAATAGGTCTTCAGCAACCAATGCTTTTTGGCAAGAGGCGATCGGGGGTCAGACTCGGTGACTTTGTTCATTGTGTTTCATCGTACTCGACGATGTGGTTAGTTGTTCATAATATCAATCACTGGATTGTCAGGGCCAGAATCGATGATTTACTGCCCGCCGTCATATAACTGAACACTGCTGATACCGCGTTAAACAACAAACACACAAACAACCACCGTTTACCGGAAAAAGCGTACCAGCTAAACAATAACGTACTATTTTCAGAATCCTTTTATGAAAATGTGTCTGAAAATGCGTCTCAGCCATAATCAGCTGGAATAATTGAATACTATCAACATATATATAAACTCAAAACCACATTCTTTCGTCTCCTTATCCTGACAACTAAATTGTCTCAAACATACATTCCTGACAAAAAAACATAAATGTCATGGGTTAGCTGATCGACATTTCACAAAAACAATGGTTTCCGCCGACTATCGGCTAAAGCTGCTCACACTCAAGCTCTAAGTATCTCGTTGCTTATTCATCAAGTCGATGTTAATGACCTCATACTGTAGAAGATATGTCGCCGGCAAATAGACACACACAGCATCATATTACCTCCTTCAGATATAAATAGCTGTAATATGAAACCGAAAATGTGTATATTTTGAAACATATTGCAAATTATATTACAAAACGCCCACACGCAAGAGTACACTACCGGGCAAAAGAAAGCATACACTTAAAAATTCACACTCCACTGCAGTGTCCTGTGAAATTGCGAATCCCAATTTCTTTGAGACGTCATGTGCACGTCACCTGTTGTGATTTACTCCTTGATGTGATAATTGTAATATCGCCCATGAAACCCGTATCAAATACATCATCATCGCATCCATTTCGTGTTTGTTTCGGGGGCACGGGTGGCCCAGTCGTCTAAGGCGCCGCGATTCGCTGTGCAGAGTTGCGTCCCTTGGGCACGCCAGAAACCTATGATTGTGGGTTCGAATCCCGGTTCGCTCCTATTATGTTTCTAGGTTTGTCATCACCATACCCGTGCTCGTGGGTTTCACCGAAGTGTTAAACGTCTGAGACCTGCATCACTTCGGGCTTTCCTCCTACATTAAGCCGTGATATAATTGGAATACTGTTAAAAGCGGCGTTAAACCCAACTCACTCACTCTTGTTTGTTTCATGTTTTCCACCATCAAACATTGGGGTATACTTTCTTTGCCCTGTAGATTATGTGCAGGTGCGCTGGAACATGTCAGGGCCGATAACAACTGTCTTGGGAGGGTTTGGGATTATTTTTTAAAACAGTAATTTATTCCAGATAATGCTGGAAAGTATTAATTTGTCCTCGAAGTTTACAAAAAATTGAAATCAATAACAGATAACTGGAAAGGGGGAATGTTCTGAGAAAAAAGACAAAAAAACATCCTGTCTTGAAACAGTGACTACAAAAAAATTCGGTCTAAAAGAAAAATCCCCCCCCCCCCCCGCCCCCAACTCCAGAAAACCTAATGGTCTGTTGTTTGTCTGTTGTTTTACGCCGCACTCAGCAATTTTCCAGCTATATGACAATGGTTTGTAAGTAATCTAGTCTAGACCAGACAATCCAGTGATTAACATGCTGGTACGCAATTGGGATAGGATGACATGCGTCAACCCTTTCAGCGAGACTGACCACCCGATCCCGTTAGTCTCCTCTTACGTTTGTTTGTTGTTTAACGCCGCACTCATCAATATTCCAGCTATATGACGGCGGTCTGTAAATAATCGAGTCTGGACATTCCAGTGAC